CGCTTAGAAAATGCCTTTACAGACATTGACAGATTAAAAACGCATGAGGCTACAGGGCTGGAGAGTCTTACATCTCCCTCTTGCTTTACTTTTACTCTTTTTTCTTTTTTTTCCTTCTTTCCTTATTTTTTTTGAGGAGAGGGGAAACTAGCCAAGATAGACTGTTCTCTCTCTGCTTTTAACTTGCAACAGCTCCAGGTAAAATGGTGCTGTGTGGGAGAAGGTTTTACTTGGTTAAAGCAGGAGGTAGCAGTCAAAGCAAACAAATTCAGTGTATACATAGAAAACAGCTCTAAATCAACTCGGTAATGTCTCCAACTGTGATTTTTTCATTATTTCTAATCTCCTCAGCAGCATATCTTAATTTGACTCTAAGATAAATTTCAAAAGTTTTCTGGGCCATTCAAATACTACATAGTTATTGTCTCAAGCCCTATTTCACAAGACATTGATTGGGGTGGAGGGCTATTTTATGATTGAAGCGATTACGAGGGAGAAAAAAAATCAGCTTGAATAACCATCATCTCTGCAACCTGAAAAGCCAGGCTTCTCACAGTTCCATTTCTGTGGCAAGATACTGACATCCAGTGGCCAATTAAGCTAATTAGAGGTCACTCTTCCCGGGGATCTGAGCTGCTTTATGGCGCTCCCAGCCAAGGTAAGCAGCAGAGTGACATGAACACTGCTGACAAGCTCACACTTCAGACCCTACAGTTAGGGGTTGTTGCTTTAGCACTGTGACAGCTGCTTGTTTGCCAATGCTACTAGAGCTACTCTATAAGCTTTTCCAAGCTTCTTTACTAGTTATGACACCACAAAGGCCATTGGCAGGCATGGCATGACAAGGACTTTTTCCTAAAAGGAAGCATGCCGTTAGGGTTTCTAACATAACATTCAGAAGGGTGCACTGTGGAAGGATAGGCTAGCCCTTGTGACCATATTAGTACATTTCTGTGAAAATGCAGAAAAGGTGACCATCAGGCAGTTACAGCTATTCTAGCTTCATACTGACCTGGTAAAACTCAGCTTTGTGTCTCTAACTCACTAACAGAAGGGAAAACAAACTAGGCTCTGTTTGTATCGAACCAAGGAAGAACATAACAGGAGGGAGGGGAATAAATGCAGTGCAATCAATTAGAGTCACATTTGGCAGAACAAGGCCAAAACCACAGCTATAAATGCACCTCAGCGGCAATTTTCAAAGCTCTGTGAACACAAAGGCAGGTGCACTATGATTGCACAGCTGAAAACAAAACTCTAGGAGATTCGGAACCACCAGGGCATTTCCCTTCCGTGGTATCTAGTCCAGGATGGCAGCAGAGATTTACGAGGTCCTCAAAGAGCCTCAACAACTGCAATTCACTCTCTACCTCCATTGAGTTTTGCAGCTTTGTCACTACGTGCAATAAAATAATTCTTCCAAAACACAGACGGGAAAGAGCAAACCCCATGCTCTGAAATATACCAGACACTCGTAGAATCCAGCAGATACTCACAACTACAAAGTGGGAATGTTTCAAGGGTGGTGGAGTCTTCTCTTTGGAGTTGGATTCCCTAGAGTATTTTTTTCTTTTCACCAGTTTTAAAAAAACTTTCAGTTCTAGACAGGTACCAGTGTGACACCCACATAAGACTGGAATTATGTGGCACAGCAGCAGCCCCATCTCTCAATGCATATTAAAGAAGCACAGTCAGTGGTGCCACCCTTCTGACACCGTGCTGAAACACATGTCGACACGCTGCTTACCTGTCATCCATGTTCTTCTAATGGTGGAAGGTTACCTCCGCATGGTGGCTGCTCCCGCTCAGTCAGTACATGAGCTTTGACTCCTTCTATTGAAAAGTCTTCTTTTCTATTGTAATGATGCTTCCGGTTGCATGTGCGAAGGCACACTGGGTGTCCAGCAGGAATACGGAACCTACCTCCAGCTATCCCATTTATCCATTCCAACTGAAGCACACTGTTGTAAAATTGTCTAAACACCGCTCCCCACCTCCCCACATGGTCTATAAATTAACATTCGGATTGGAGTGCCCCAATTACTACATTTGGGTGTAGAACTGGGGTGGTTGTATGTGCAGAGCAAATACTTGAAGCGGAAATCTTATATGCAGGCAAATACCTACGCACACGTAGACACTTTATTAATCAGGCTGGAGACCCTGTGAGCACTTCAGTTTCTGCTTCAAAACACAAACTTTTATTGCCTAATGGAAGTGCTGAGTTAAGCAAGGTGGAAGAAATGAGTTATATATTACTTTTTCCCTTCTTCTGAACTGGCAATAAAGCATACAGATGTTCTGCTCTAGCTTTAGCACAGCTGCCTCCGTTTACTTATCTTCATTACTCCCTTAATTTGCCAAACAATTTTGCATATGTTTACTTTCTTACCTCGTATAATCAAAGTATTCTTTGTGCTGATTCCGATAAAAAACAGACAGTTTAAGCATACGGCCTGCAATCACTTCAGCTTTTTCCAATAGCTGTGTTAGGTGAACTTTTGAATAATCTGGAAAGAAAAGACAATCTGCTAGTATGGGGGGGCAGGAAAAAACCACAATACTCTCCAAAAGCTACACAGATGCGCGGACTTACCATTGGGACCAGAGCCTCGGTAACGCTGAGCTGCACATCATGCAGCAGCTATACAGAAACTACATTGCCCAGCACCAGTTTCCAACAGTGGCAACAGACAAATGGCAGGAGCACGCATGTTTGATTCTCCCCACTCCTTTCCCCACAAATACTCTGCAAGCCTACAGCAACCCTCAGCTCAGGATTTCCTGTGTTAGAGCTGGTTTCCTTGTATTTGGGACTGCAGAGGAGCCAAGAACTGCCCTCTCTGGCTTACGCCATTTGATAACCTGTTTGCTACAACGTACCCAGCTGTGAGCCAATAATAATTCACATAACTAAAAAAGCTTGCTTAGGACCCAGCCTAAAGGGCATCTCTGCCAACATGGGATTCAGACAGTTCGCTTCAGCACTCAGCTTTCACACAGGCAAGCATGCTGGCCCTAGGTGATGAACATCCATAGGGAGAGACTTATAAATCAATGACAGGCTACACTGATCCTCGCGACAGGGTGTTGGTGGTGCTCAGGCTTTGCAGCACGCAGAGAAAGGAGAGCAGCAGAACACCTTAAGCAAGCTGTCTGTTAGGGAGCTGCCACTCTGTCTTTTCTCCATGGGTGCTAGTAGCCAGCAACAGGCACACAAGTGGCCCTGCTCCACGTCGGTTCACCAGTCTCCTTTCCTAGCCTGGGACAAGCACTGGTGCCAGGCACAGCACTTTGGGGCAGCTAAGCTATTGCGGAACAAAGGGGCACTCCAGCTGCCTCTCATTAACGCGCCAAACCTGAGCACATACAAAGCCTAAAGTTAGAATTCCAGTTTCCAGGTGAGACTATTATAACTCTACCAGCCTAGCTGGCACCAGTGGATGGCTAAGCCACTCAGGCAGCAAAGCTAGCGTTAATTGCATACGTCCTGTGGTGCGTGCTTCCTCAGCCGTATTACCTGCTGTGCAAAACTCGATGATTTCACTCCACTCAGAAACAACATAATCGCCATCAACTTGCTTTGATGCCGTCTGCACTGCTACTGTGTATTCTGTTCTTGGGCTCAAGAACCAGTGCCCGCGGACTGTCATAGGCAAAGGAACAGCTTTGGCCACCAGTTTAGTGGGTACATCCTGATGGGAACAAAGACAAAACAACACACAAGTCAGCAGCGCAACCAAACCAATCCACAACCCCTTCCTTCGTTGTTTTTGCAATGTAATCCCCAACCCCTGGCTCTTCTGTGCAACCCTTAGTTACTTTTCACAGTCCATTGGTGCAGGAAAGTTAGCACGGTGGCCAAGGACAATGGTCTAAGGCCTGCTCTAAGAGCTATGGTGATAACTTGCATGTATGCGTTTATTATTGGTTCCAAGTGACTACAGACTGATACTATTTTATATAGACCAAATAGATAATTCAGACTAGGGCCATTTGTGCTTAAGTATGCAAACAAAGACACACTACTGAGCACAAGGATATCTTAATTTAAGAGCTGCTTGTGCCCTCATTGCCATTGTTTTCTTTCAGTCAGTGTAACCAAACAAAATTCCT